TACGTCTACCCGCTTCCCTACGTCAATTTGACTCTCCATAGCACGAAATGCTTCATGATTCACCTCGAACGCACCGTCCTCGCTCTCTATAAGGCGAAACGCCGAGTCATTTACGACGAAGAGGGAGCGCTATTCCCTTTCTCGCCTCCTCGTCGCTTTGGTAGAGGTGCGTCCTGCCGTATAAGGCGACCGCTTGCTGCTGCACCTCTCCGAGGACCTCGGCCGAAAACACCGTCTTATGTACGCGTGTACTTGACGGAAGACACCCTAGGGGGCTAGAACCACTACGAGCGGGAGAGGCATTTCCTTTCCAGATGACGAGGACGTAAGGCCGCCGCCGACGTCGTTCATCCATTTCAATGGTCCTATGCTAGTAAGTCGCCGGTCGGGAGGGTAAGTTTAAGCCTACGCTTGCCTGAGAGCCGTATTATACTCAGCTTGAGTTCGTCGAGTCATCTCGCAAAGTCTAATCGTATTCATTTCGGCGTCGAAGCTACTCAGCGGCATAGCTAGGTGGCGAGATGGTTTAGTCGCCGGTGTTGCAAACCCCAGGGATTATGTAGGAAGGGTAGTAGTCGAAGGTCGATGCGGGAGCTTGTGTCACTGAAGCTCAAAGCTCAAGGGATTTGCCACTGCCGAATCCGAACTTGAGTCATTCGAAGCTCTGAGCGTTTGAAAGCCGAGGAAATTAGAGGCCGAGTCGAAGGTGTGTCAGTTAGGCTTTGCCGTTGGGTTAAACGTTCTCGTAGCGGGCGGGTAGATTGTGCGGCATGGGCGTGTTGTTGCGTAGAGTAAAGAAACGAAGACGACCCGGGGAGTTCATGCTGCAAACCGACCGCGAACGCCTGTTGAGTTCGAACTTGGAGGGAGATTCAGTCGAAACGTACGATGGGACGCCAAGTAGCCTGACTAAAATCCTTCAGGTCGCTGAACCGAACGCAGTCGCGGCCAAAAACCTCCAGCATAGCTCGAACGGCCACACACGGGATACGTCAAGTTCTCAACCACACCGCGACATTGTGAGCGTGCCGCGTTTGGGCGTTCCTAGGTGGCGTGCTGACGAGATGTTGGTCCATTCTTGCGAGGCTGTACTGATTGAGCCGCGAAACAAAATTCCATGATGAGGTCGAGGCTGGAGGAGGTGATGGTGAGGGTTTGAGCACGAACGAATGGATGAATAGGTTCAGGGTTCGGTTATCACTGAATGACACGGTTAATCCGGGCAAGGATCGCGAGCGCGCACGTCTATTAGGAGAATGTGATAAGCGAAGGCTGATTGCCCTCTTTTTGCCATTTTGAGCGTCCTCCTTCGTACAGAAAACGGAGAAAGAGCCTAACGTCAGTAGATAGATTCCCTCGGATTTTTTAGGGTAGCTTACCTGACGCATAGTAAAGTCAACGGCCTCAGAGTGAAGAGAATTAGGATGGATTTTGAGCCCATAAGACACCGACGATGGCGTCGAATCATTCACTGTCTAAATGCATGCCCGAGGTGACCGACTCAGGATCGCCCAGAGGCGTATCTTGTCCTCCATCACTTGCAACCTCGTAGAATTCGCCTACATGAAACGGCTTGGTAATCTCTTCACTAAGGTTGTCTAGGAGTTTCCACCTCGCCTACGAGGTCCCGACGCGATAATTGGGCTGGACTCACAGCGAACGCCGTGCGGGTGATCCAGTGCTACCTTCTTGGAAACGAAACAAGGCGTCCGACTCTCCTGGCTGGCTCAGACTCGCCACCTTTAAAGTCCTGATCAACAGACGGAGGGGATGAGAGGTGCTACGAGATTCTGGTACGCAACTTACCAAGACTCTCGTCCGTGTAATGAAAGCAATGGATGGGTGAACCTCGGAAACACGTCAAATAGAACTGTATCGGATAGATGCTAACGATGTGGGCGAGGTGAGATAGAGCGAGGTAGTAGGCAGGAGGAAGGGCACCCACCGGAATCTGCAAGAATGACCAGAAACTCGAATGCCACGTTGCCGGCCTCTGTTCTAGAGAACGCGCGGACCTGGCAGGGCGGCACCTCTGAATCGGGAGAAACGGAAAACGCGAGGTGAGATATGATTCTTTGCTTTTTTTCTGAGGATAGGTTAGGAAGGTTTCAGGTTGATCATGGGTGCTAGGATTCAACGCTCAATGCTCACTACTAGAGTTTCGAGTCGGGGCAGCCAACCACGCACTAACATTTTTATGTCCTCCTTGATCGAAGACTGAAGTGAAAATCGCGATGATGCTCGCTTGACGCCCGACTTTCCCGCTCCAGGGTCTCCGCCGACGATTCTTGCGGATTTCAGTACCAGTAGGGCGATACGAGGTGATTCGGACGGATGACTAGACACTCCGTGTCATGATGTCCCAACTCACAGACGAAGATCTGCGCCTCAATCAACATTGAAGGCGAAACTAGTCAATAGGCCAAATGTGAAGCCTATGGGATTTGAATCATAGCCGATAGGCATTCGGTCTCTCGGAGATGTCAATGACGACGCCAAACACGGTTGTTCCGAAGCACATACTTCACCTGCGCGAGGTGAACTGCATAGGAATGGGACGAGAAGGGTTTGGATCGAACTTAGCTTGAAGCCTAAGCCAGAATGTTATGTTGTCGACATCAGCTCTCGACACCATCCGAGGTGAGATAGTCTAAGCGATGCAGCAGGTGAGTGGAAAGGAGGGCGACGCCTCAAGTTTTCCGTATATAATCTGCAGAGATGACCAGAAACCCGAAAATTGAATGCCAGATTGCTGACCTCTGCTCTCGAGACCAGTTGGACGGAGCGGTTCCGGAAGGCCTAACAGGCGAAGTGAGATAACCTTTTTCAGCGTGCGTTAGGAAGGTTTCGAGTCAAGCCGCGAATGCTAGAGCTCAACTTTCAACTTTCGGCGCACATCACTAGGGTTTCGGATTGGAGTTGACATGCGACCAGCGCGTAAGGCGTAAGGATGGCCTCCGAGGGCAGCCGGGGGGAAGTGGCAACAATTGCCATAGGAAGTCTCGAAGCTCGAAGCTCGGATGCGTTGAGTGACGAGTCGTCGAAAGCAAAGACTGTTGGTTCTGCTCGCAGACACGCGATAAACCAAGCGTCTGAGTGCTAGTTTCATCAGCATTCTCGTAGGCCCAAATCCTGGTCGATGTGGGTACTTAAGACGATCTCGTCAGGATATGCGTCCAATCCGAAGACTATCGATCAGGGCGACGGACCCAAATTCCAACCTCGAGCTCACAACCGACACCGACTTTCCATTCTAGCGCGCCACCACAAGAGCCCACGGTGTTCCACCTCAGTTCCACCCCCCTCCTGGAGCTCGAAGGTTCAAAGGGGCAGCGCCGCTTTCTCCGGCAGCAATAAGTACCAAAGCCCAACATCACTCTTTCTGGAGCCTCCCTGAGCCTCCCTGAGCACTAGAGTATGGCAACCCATCCGGGGCATCGACGCATCTTGATCGACCCCGCTGGGCCCCGATGGTCGACCTGGTGCCGCTCGGAGATGCGTTCGGAAGAAAATCATCTCCTTTTGGGTGTTCTGTCCAGGGAACAAGGTTCAGGACGAGGGCGGAGGTTCGGAGGTTTGGAGGCGCCAAGAGGTTAGCATGTACTCCAGTGGAGTAGAGTAGAGCCTAGTAGAGCTTCGGGACTATACGGCTGGGGAAGGGGACGGGCGGTGGATGGTGGGTGATACTAGATGGTAGTGGGTGATATTGTATGGTTGGGTGTGATCGCTGATGATCGCTGAGGTGGGGAGCGGACAACATCGAAGTGAGTATGCTCGGAGACGGTGGGTGCAGTAAGTAGCAGCCCAGCCTGAGTGGCGATTGCAAAGCAGAAAGAGATTTGAAAGCCCTTCGTCATCGGAAAACCGGCGCACTGCTGACGTCGTCCCTTTTATCTCTCCAGCGTCCAAAAACCCGTCGAAGGTCGGCTTCGTCATGGTATCATCTGGTAGCGCTCAACTCAATTACCCCTGCGTGCGTAGATCATCGCGTTGTCGAAGTGTCGAAGTCAATTATCGGTGTGCTCAGGCTCTCTTCCGTCTTCCATAGGAGGTGGCCAAGGACATCGACGGATCGGCGGTCGATTCAGTTGGGACGAGAAAGGTATGTCCAGAAGAGCTGCCCCGTGCTAAGTGCTTGGAGTGTTGCTTCGAGATCGTCGAGGGTGTGCGTTCGAATGCGTGTCTCCAAGTCGGGTGCGCTCCCACGAGCTTCGAAGAATCCGAATGTGCGATAAACGCCGAAAGCCATGGACACGTCAGATGAGCAAGGAAACCGGACATCGAGAGGAAAGGAGAATACGAGGTCCAGCTAGCTTAGCGCCAGCCATAGGCACAGGCGACTCGCAATCCCCGTTCAGCGCGTTCATCGAGCGCCGATGATTCGTTGATCACGGATTCCCCTCATGACGTCGGAACCAAAGCCGCCCAAACGGGCCAAGCTCAAGACCCAAGCGAGCCGCGAATCGCGATCGGGCAGCCGGATCGGGAACAGTCCCGTTATGACGATTCAAATCGCGATTCGATTCGATTGCCGACCACTCACTCTCAGGGTCCGCGCCAATCCTGGTTCGGCCCAAAATGGGATTCGGGCTGAGCGGTATCGCTTGGGGAGGAGCCTGGGGAGCGCGTACTTATAAGGAGCGCTGTGTGCCTCGCCGCCGGCCTGATTCCTTTAAATACAGCATCTGCCTGCGTTGCCTGTTTCCGGTTTGCCTTTCTCCCTCCCCTCTCTCAGGCTCGCGCACCCCCTCATCTCCGCGGTGAAGCCGAAGCTTGCTTTACGTCTGCACCCACTGACTCGATTTGGCTCAAGGCGAGAAGCAGGCCGGCGACTCAACCGCGATCGCTCCCCGAGCCGCTCGTCTGCCCACTAAACTCTGTGTTCTCCTATATAAGTTGAGGACGTCTGGAAGGCCGGACGTCGACGCACTTACCTCCGAACTCCTCGAATTCACTTGCTACTTCACGTTTCTTCCTCTGCTTCAAATCGCGTTTCCACAATGGCCGTCTCCTTACCGAGTATTCATGAGATGTTCCCAGGTACGTTTGCCATGCTCTTCCTCACCAAGAACGTCAGCTCATGAACGTGTTGTATACAGCGCACCTCATGGGCAGGGACCACCTGAACGGAGAGCACGCGAGAGGACACCGCTCCGTGAGTCCGATATCGTTCTTTGCTATGAGCCCGATTGACCTTCAGCGCTGCGTAGGTACATGGTGCTTCGACGTGTACGATACCGGGCTGCCGTTGTTCGTCTGCCTCGACTTCAACTTCCTCCTCGTCGACTGCAGCACCGTCCATAATGGCGCCATCACACCGCCGAGCGCCATATCCTCACCCACAGATGCATGTAAATCCACAAGCGAACTCACACGCCCACCGTGTAAATCCACAGGAGCAATCATATACCCGTGCCCACAGCGCTGCCCACCGGTTCCCGACAAATGCATCGTCCTCAGAGCCCGTTTCTGATTCGATTTCTGGCGGCAGGCACCGCACAGGTGCAGGCTCCGGACTGCAGTCGCATCACGCCATTTCCGCTAACGCCCAAACGCATATTCCGGGCGCCACGTCGGAGCGTGCGCCTCCCCATGCGCGCTTAGGGTCGCATCAACACCCACACGGTCCACAGGGACAGTACCCCCACCCTCAGCCACGCCCACATATATACCAACATCCGAACCCCAGAGACGAGCGCGAACGCGAGCGGCGGATGTCGCACTCGTATCCACATCCAGCGCCTCCTGGACACTACCCACCACCACCACCACCACAGCAGCAACACCAACACCAACACCAACACCAACACCAATACCAACGAATGGAAATGGACATGAGCGACGGCGACGGCGAGGAAGACGCCTCTGAAGGCTCATTTAGCGGCTCGCCCATCCCTTCCCATACGCATATATCGACTCAAATGCCGATGTACCCCGGTACCGGTGTCCAGCCTCACTTCGCACAGACGCATCGCAGGGCA